ACAGAGCTTGACTGAGTGTCAGCACCTCATCAAGTGGAACATCGACACGCCTTTTCCAGTGCAGCCATAGAAACCACACAAATCTGAGTTGTTTGCCTTCTGCATTTGCATGAAACAGCTGAGAAACAACATCTGTGGGAGGTGGAAGCGACGGCCAGAGACGGATCATCTAAAAGCAGCTTACATATAACTAACTAGGTAAGCAAGCATGTGACGTAACGGGTGTCTCACCTCATCCTGGCTGGTCTCTACTTTGGGGTTGCTGGCGGTTCTCTTTAGGTTGCTGCTGAGGCTGATGCTGATGGTGGCATCGGATTTGGAGCGTTGGTGGGTGCGTTTGGATGGCGAGAGGCTGTGTTCACTCATGCCCTGACCGTGATGGAGGGGTGGGGGGCAGGAAGGGGGAGGCTGCGGCACCTCCCTGCGGATGCGCTGGCTGGAGGGCTTGAGCTCGTCTGACAGGATGAGTTTACGCAGTTTGGTGCCACGGGAGTGGCGCTGCGTGGAGATGTGCATGTCAGAAGAGTAGGCCCCCAGCAGCCAGGCGCACTGCAGGGAGAAATTGATGCTTTGCCGGCAGCGGTGCACCACGTAGGGCTTGATGGCATCGCCCACATCCTCGTCCATGTGGATGTACATATTGAGCAACTGGGGCAAGTAGAAGTCCACTTCTTCGTTCCGGAAGCTAAAGAGTCGATTGCCGATGTAGGCTTGCACGCCGGGCTCCTTAGAATTGTAAAGATAGGAGATGGCCATGGAGATGTCAAACAGCTTGGACTCAAAGAGCCGCAGGAGCCAGGACTGCTTGGACGAGTTGTTCTTTTGACGGCGCCGCACGTTCTTCACAGGCTCCGCTTCCTCCTCGCTGATCTTGGGAGGTTTTCCTCCATCTGTGGACACGGGGTGTGCTGTACCGTTCACTAAAACTGGCTCTGAGCTGGCTGAAGATACTTCTCCATCGGCCTTCAGGAACTTCACCTTTTGAAGAACTTCCTGGCAGGCTTTCTTAGCCACCTCGGTATCGATGACTAGGCTGAGTTCGCCCACTCCCTCGGATATGACATCTAGAGGGGGGCTGGAGGTGGGCAGGCCTTCACTGGTGCTCGGGCTGGAGCTGGTGAGGGGACGAGGGCCAGAGGAAGGAGATGAGGGCAGGGACAGCGAGGAGGTGGTGGAGGTGGAGGAAGCAGATGGGCTCTTCTGTAGCTCCTCGAGCTGAACGGGGGAGAGCTCCAGCTCTGTGTCCCCCATGGCCACACACTCTCAGGCCACTGCTAAACACAGAGAGACAACAAAACACACTATCAGCAAGCGAGCTTTAGTAATGACAACAGGATGGCAATTACAATGCATTTAAAATGCTGTAATGTGAAACTGATGAGTGAAATAGACTGTTAAGCAGGAAAAATGTGGGTTGGGACTTTTCAGTGGCAGATAAATTACCTACACTACCATTTAAAAGTTTGGGGTCAATAATCATTTTTTAAAAATAAATTAATACGGTTATTCAGCAAGGTCGCATTAAATGAATCAAAAGTGACAGTAAAGACATGTATAATGTTACAAAAGATTTCTACTTCAGAATAAATCCTTTTCTTTTGAACTTTCTGTTCATCAAAGAACCATATTAAGCAGCACATTTGCTTTTTCAACATTATGATAATAAGAAATGTATATTGAGTGGCAATCAGCATATTAGAAGGATTTTATTTTCTGAAGGATCATGTGACACTGAAGACCAGAGTAATGGTTTCTGAAAATTCTGCTTTGTCATCACAGAAATAAATGGCACTTTAAAATGTATTACACTTTGAAATCATTGTAATAATATTTCACAATATGAATGTTTTCCTGTATTTTTGTTTAAAAAAATCATGCTTGGTGAGCATAAGATACTTCTTTAAAAAAACATTAAAATAATCTAAGCAATCCCAAACTTTTGAATGGTGTTGTACATGCTGGTGAAAGCAAAAAACATTTAAGACAGTAAATAGGGTCAGTTCGATTTCATTTTGCCTTTAAAAAATCAACTTACATACAGGCCTAAACGTCTGAGAAATCAGAGAACAAAAACAACTTCCATAATGAACTGTTACTAAAACTGAAGTTTTGCCCAACATGTGACCGCACACATTGTAAACAGCCATTCAAATATCAAATTCACAATAACCCAGAGCAACAGGCTTTACCAAGCGCCACTTCCCCAGGGTCACAATGTCCCACAGATCCACAGTTACGCAGGGCAGCGCCATAATCCGCCTCCAGCAGATTACCTCACCATTACCAGCAGGCCAATATCAGATAAAGCAAGGCATCAGTCTCAAATTCCACAAAGCTGCTACATTATAAAAACCCATTGTGCTTAAAACAGATCAGGCTGTCAGAAAGAGGCAGTTCACCATATAAAGCTCAGTCACCTCCAGAAGTACCCGTGGTTCTACTTTCATGTTGTTAACAGTTAAAAACAGTTAACAGTCCTCAAGTTGACAATGGAAAGTCAGACAAGTTACAATGGTTAGTTTAGCTAAATGAAAGACAAATCAGCTTGAGCAAAATTGTTTGTTCTTAGACCACTGAAATTTAAGACCAGGAACAGAAACTGTACCAGATGAAATCAAAACTGATTCTGAAAGCGATGAGATTAAAGCACATGTCAAATGGTGGAGACTGAGTCAGCCTTGAGGAAGATGCCAGCTCGCCTCTCCTCTCACATATCACATGCTGACTCCATCTCTGGTGGATGGATTACTCTAAACAGACAGTTTGTATGTTGTTCTAGCTTGCCAGCTCTTTCTCCATGTTAAATCCTGTGAAACTGAAAAACACTGCTCTACAACAAGCCTCAACTGATAACAGTAAGAGTTGCAACACTGATTCACCAAATCAAACCACAAGCACAGGCCTACTTCTATTGTTTGGTATCAAAATGTTTCACTGAACTTCTCTGATTGCAATGGAAAGGGTAAATTCAATCAGCCTTTGCCCTGAAATGTGAGAGATCTAGAGGAGCACAAAACATGTAGATCATGAACGGTCAGTCTCAAGAGTCCCCTTCTGCCAACACCCACAACACTTTCCACAATCCAAAACCATTATTATCTAACTATTTGATGAAACCCTTGAGTAACTAGATTACAAGACTGTCACAGTATAAATAAACCATGAAATCCAATAATCTTGATATCAAACACACTGAAATAAAATCAACAAACTTAAAGCCGAGTGTGTAAAGACAATCGGTAGCTATAATTTGGATTGATGTGATGCATCAACTGGTTCGATCAGGACATAATGATCTAGATTAACTAAAACAACAACGATGAACTAGTTAATCAACTTGCCATAAAACACACTGTCAATGTTATTTCTTTTTATGTTACGTACGTTAGTTTTAAGTCTACAGACAACTGAGAGCACAAGCACATCAAGCTAAATATTTGCAGTTATAGCTGCCAAAACTCGTAATGACACCCATATTTATACTCTGATCTGCTTAATCAAAACATTACTTGTTTTGTCCTATTTCAGACGTTTAAAAAGTCAATCAGTCAGATTACTTTTACACTCAAGTTAGCATCGGAGCATGTTTAGCTGAAGACCTTTAAGAGACACGTCGACTACTTTTCTCTCTTGTAGGGCTCAAAGAGATTTTTTTCCTTCAAAACAGTATAATAGTATGTGTGCTAAACAACAACATAATTTAATTAACACTAGTTATTATTAAATGTTCAACTGTTATGAAGGCCTGAAAGGATAAGCCTCATAAAAACACAAACGGATGCTACACTTAGCCAAGCCGCTAACGCAACGTCTCTACTTTAGGAAGAGACCCAAGGAAACATAAAAACATATGACTTACCTCAAAATAAACCGGGTGAAGGCTTAAATTGTCGGTTTATCTGTATTTTAACTGCCTCATTTGGGAGCTGCGGCTCTCCTGTTGCGGAATAACCGGTGTGGTTCGCTAAGAAAGTGAGTGGAGAGATGACACGCCGGGGCTGCCCACATCAACTGCCTGATTCCAGCATACAACACATACAGCCTGTGCCTCAAAACACAGAGAGCTGCCTACCAAGACAACACTCTTGGGCATTTAGGCAATGCCAACAAATGCTGTCTAAGCAGGAAGCCCACCAGGCTTTGAGACACAGCTAAAGAGGGTGATAACATTTTACATGCTTGCTGTCCTGTTATAGTGTTTACACATTTTTTGAAAGGGTTAAAAACATTAGCTGTTGTAAACTCAAATAAACTGAAGCTAGTCGTTTGCCTCTCAATTATATAAGAATAATACTAAGAAATATTAGTATAATAACAAATGTTAATATTTTTATATTCCACTTTTTACAACTATTATTATTTTTATAAAATGTATGTGTGTGTGTATAATCTGGTTGAGTCAATAGATGACATTTAATTTGATATTTGATGCCTATTAGTTTTTACTAACCATTTTACATATTCCTCCTATTTATAGTTGTACTGTATTTATTATTACAGAACATTGTGGGGAAAAAAAAAACACTTTTTAATAATACTTTTTAAGTACGTTTAAGTAATATTTGTCCCCGTCTTCAGACTCGGAAAGATAACTTTTTATACTTGTGCACTACAATGACAATAAACAAAACTAACCTAAGTAGTGCTGTAATTCCTTGTGTTTGTTGTTAAAACAAAATTGCATTTCTCTTTTTCTGCATCTTGGTAAGAAAAGCATGCCTTAAAAATAACATGTAAAAATATTCACTCCCGTTATTACACTCACATGTCCATTTTGTTCTTTGAGGGTTTCTTAAGCACTGACACTCGAAATACAACGATTGCTTTGTTTTAGAATGTATTCCTAATACAATAGTTTAAAATGTGTGCACGTATAGTGATGCTGATTGTGTGCACTCGCTCTGTGCACTTGCACCACGTGTTTAAAATCTACTTTGCGATTCTAATGATTTGGAAAGCGCTTACAACAACAAATGAGAAAGCCTTTGAATTCACTGGGATGCAAAACATTTATTTCAAAAAATGTAGAAAGCATATAAAGACAATGAAAATTAGTTTTTGTAGTTAAGATGTGATTTACAGCATAGTTCACTCTTGTAATTGCTAATTGACACATAATAAGATTAAGGATTTGGTCCATACATAGATTAAACGTGATCATGATACTGATGATATCTCCACTGAGAAAATGGGAATAATAATTCTGCTCCTTGGAACATAACGGTTTGGCCCCAATTTCATAACCAGATATCAGAAGTGCAGTCTCCACCAGGATATCTGAGCTCATGGGCAAGTGCAGGACCATCTGGTTCTGCTCCGAAATCCACAAGGAAATTCTCGTTGAGCTTCAGGCCGCCTTTATCTGTGTCCACGTCAATCTGCATCATGACCGACCCCTCCCTCAAGAGAAATAAGACACATATTGCAGCATAATAAACAAACCAGAGGTTACTTCTGAAACCATTTAAACAGCCTAATTTCTTAATCTCTATATACAATACTCAAGTAAAATTACAAATAAAGATCATTTTGTCTCACTTGACGAGGTCAGGGTAGAACTGCTTGTCCCAGGCACTGTATAAAGAGGTGGTGACGTACAGACGTTTTCCATCCAAGCTCAGCTGGAGCATCTGAGGGCCTCCCTGCACACGTTTTCCCTGATGAGGAAAGGAATGTTTTAACCTCCAACAAATGATGTGCTCTAATTGCTCTGTTTAGGTCTGCATGACCTAATGATTTGTAGTACAATAAGCTGGGTCATCTGTTAGTTAGTTACCAACAGCTTTAGGCTGTTTTCCTCCACATAATGGCTAACTCAAATGTGTACACAGAGCTCACAGGAAGCATACTTGTAAATAAATTTAAAAAAAAGGTACCTTTAGTATCCGTGGGGCAGGCTGGCTATCCAGTTCTTTGTCCTCCAATACTTTCACTGGTCCATCTTTTAAAATGCTGCCTGCAAGGAAGACCTTAAAAATGCATTTCATGAAATTAAATGCAAGTTCTACTATCTTGACACTTTATTGACATGATTTTAGAAATGTAGACAAAGGTGTCTTGATCCTGCTAATCCAAGTGGTCTTACCTGACCAACCATGCGTGGATTCCTCCTGTCAGTGATGTCATACTGTCGAATGTCTCCATGCAGCCAGTTACTGAAGTACAGGAAGCGATCATCCAGTGAGATCAAGATATCCGTAATGAGACCTATGGCAAAAAATACATGAGTAAACGAGTGTCTAAATTTT